GCCACTTCCTGGTTCTTCTGAGCAGGAAGAGCCACCCTCTGATTCCAGGTATATCAGGCTTGGCTGTAGCAAAGACAACATGCTTTGCCTGCGATCAGAGACACTGGGCCTTGCCTCAACTGGACCAAGGTTTTGTGTCTGCTCTGAACAGTATTTTCGTTTTGCAGTAGGTAGGTAGCTGGGCCCCCACCCCTCTGTTGGCCTCCCTCTTTCCTGTCTTAATTGTAGTCTTCTGCACTGATATCCCCTTCATGGTTCTGAACTTTGAGCTGGGGTCAATGAGTCCCAGAATGTATTTTGAAAGACACAACAAGGCCCAGCTGTCACGGTTGCCAGGTCCCCCTGGTCACTGGCAGGTGATGGGGTGCATAGCCAACTCCAGGTTGGGGAACTCCTGGAGATTTGGGGGTGGAAGGGCAGGGACCTCAGTGGGGTACAAGGCCATAGAGACCTCCCTCCAAAGCATCCATTTTCTTCAGGAGAACTGATCTCTGTAGTCTGGAGAGGAGCTATAATTCCAAGGGATCCTCAGGTCCCACCTGGAGGCTCAGCAACAAACACACGGGAAACATGGCAAAGTTAGACAAATGTAAAGAAACACCGTGTTAGAACAAAACACACACTACTAATATGCACTTGTGTCTTCATATATTGATTTAAATACAATAGAGACCCTAGTGTATCTTATACGTATTCATTATAATACAAAAACCTAAAGAACATTATATATCTACTAAGAGAAAAGTCCACAGCTACAGAGACCTATTCTAATGCTGAGACTATCTTGCTTCCACCTGGAGGCTGGCATCCCTACCAGCCATAGATTTTGTCAAGTCCAGATGAAAGTACCTGAGGTTGTCCATAGAACCTTTCCTGCAAGCATGTCCAGTCCAAGCAGCAGCGGCTGAAACTTTTCATTTCTCGAAATTAATTCCAGTTTGGGGGAGAGAGGGAATGTCTCCTGCCTGAGTCCCATCTTGTTGTCCTTGGAGTACTTTCATATCTTGGACGTTTCTGATGTTGGGTGGGGATTGCTGACTTTTGGCTGAGCCCGAAGTTCAGGCAAGGAAGGGTTAAAGGGGGGGTGGCAGAAAGATAGTATGCTAATAAGGCCCAGGATATATAAAGAGCCCCTTCAGAACTCCCTATCTCTAGATGATGCCAACTTGTAGGATTCCAGCATGGCTGAAACTGTAAGTATTTGTGGTGGGCTGGAGTGAAGACCTTAGGAATGTACCTGGCCAATTGGGCTGTCTTCTTTATCTTTGTATAACAGGTTTTTGGGTTTTTTTGTTTCTTTTTTGGGGGGGGCTTGATTCTGCTTTTTGTGTGGTTGTTGGCACACACACACACACACGTACCCTGGCCTAGAATACAGCCCATATGGAGTAGATGTAAGGACATGAGGATCTTTGGATGGGGATAAAAGTGAAATTTCTGGAGAGAATGCAGTTAGAATTGTTGTGGGTTTTCACTTATTTCTAGGGCCCAATAAAGAGAAACCAGTTAAGGCAGGGAGTGAAGGAAGAACTAAATAGTTTTTCACGGATTCCTCCTGTATCTTCATTAACAGGCCTTTTTAAAAAGCATATGAACGCATTATGCTTGCACCCCCCCCCCAAAACAGAATAAACCTATACCGATCAATAAATATTGGAGGGGGTGGTCCCCGTTCAATATCTAAAAATTGTGATTCCCAAAGGGGGCTGTCATTAACAGATGTGGATTTTCCACCTTTGATCACACAATAGTTATAGGGTTTTTTTTCCTTCTGCTACTCAGCTTGGGAAACCAGCATTCATTCCCAGCCCTGAACAGACTTCCTGGCAACCACCCGTGTGTCCTTCTGAGTGGGTAGTGAGAGTAAAAAAACCTTTCCCCCTGCCGTATTTCCCCTGTCTGTATCAGTTAAGTTGGTCTGCCGGCTTTATTTCAACAGCTGATCCAGTAATGATGCTGGCATAGCAACGGCACCAGGATGCCTTGGCACTCCATAACCTACCTAAATCAGATTGAAAGTTCTTTAAGGGTCATGGCTTCCCTCCAAATGCCTCTGAAGAAACAGCTCCTTTGAGAAGAGACCGGGAATTCTTTGTGAAGCTGGCTTCCTGATTAAAACCTGGCCCCACAAATACTTCCTGCTATTCTTCTGGATCCTCTGCACGATCAGCACACCTTATGAGGCCAGTGCAGTCACAGCAGAGATGTAATTTGCTACTAAAGCTATGGCTGGGGGAAGCACCACTACTCAGGAGTAAATACCTTCCCACCCCCCTGCCCAGAGAACACTAGGCCATGCAAAATACTTCATTCCCTGAATCTTAGCATCATTGCCATTAAACAGGTTTGAAACTGGTTTAAATTTGTACTGGAGAAAAATGTTTTCCAAACACTGACTTTTCCGTAGTTTGGAAAGCATCGACTAGTCGGCTGAAGCTCCTTTCCTCTTCGCATGCAACAGGTGGCCTAAGGGCAGGCAGATGCTCCAGTTTTCTGACCCTCTCACACACCTCAGGGTGTGATAAAGGATGAAAGGACTCTTCCAGAGGCTTCTCAGCATTCTCCAAGGGGAGGGGGAGGTCTTTGGGGGACAGCAAAGGAACTTCACCACTTAGATGTGATGTGTCCCCACTCCAGGGGAAATGCAGCCTCTTGCAGGCGTCTCACTGCTTCCCTGATTAAGTTCAGCTCCACATCCCAGGGATCATTTTACCCAGGGGTTAATTTCTGAAAGGAAAAGGTAAGTGCTGGGACTCAAGCTCCCCTGTTCTCTAATTCCGGGTGTGTTGTGGGTTTGGGCTGAATTGGTGAAAGGCACACTCTGTACACGTTCAGAGGGACCCTCCCTACTTCCGATTCTTCTCTTAACCAATTCCTCTCTTTCTTATTCCTCCAGCTCTCCAGTTCCAGAGCCAGCTATTGAGACTTTCTAAGGCTCCAGGTTGGATATCATCGTATACTGTAAGTTGGAATCAGACACTACAGTATAGATGATGTACTACCTTGAACCTCTCATCCAACTGACCTCCCGGAGCTTAAAACTGTAGATGCAGGATCTGGGGTTTTTTTGGGGGGGCGGAGCAAACACAGCTGCATTTCTTAATCTAAAGGTGCCTACAGATGCAGTACTTCTCCCATCAGCTTCCAGATAGATCAGAGGTGTCTGTGATGACTCAATGGTGAGAAGGGCAAAGGCACTCTGCACATGTACTCAGAAGCAACCTCCTGTGCCGCTCATGTGCTAAGTCTGGGTGGTCCCCCTGCTCACATTAAACCCTGCATTTCTGTGCAACGGGGTGGGCTAGAGAAGGCTTAGCAGAATCAGAAGAAGGGTATCAAAACAGTTGGGATGAAAAAGCAAACCACCCCTACCCGGCAAGCCATCTGCAAGACAAACCTTGTGGTGTGGTGGGGAAACCGTTACCATTACTGAATTTAGTAATGGTAATGGTTATTCTGCCACCCCAGCCAGCATCTGAAAGACAGGGAGCACCCTCCTCCAGCAAGATCTCTCCAAGCAGACGACTGCAGGCCGCCTCCTCGCTCCTGTGTGACTGTCAAAAATAAAAACAATTCTCCAAATGCTTCTGTGTATCTGATCTCACTTTTTCATTGCGGGGAGTGACTATGTTGCCAACTCTGGCTCTGGAAAGTCAGGGGTAGTGCCTGGTGGTGAGGAATTTGTACAGAGGAGGGAGTTTAGTGGGGGGTTGATGCTTAGAGTTGCCACCTTGGGACTGGGAAATTCCTGGAGATTTAGAGGTGGGGTTTGGGGAAGGGAGGAAGGGAGGAAGGGACCTTCGTGGGGTATAATGCCACGTAGTCCACCCTCCAAAGCAGCCTTTTCTCAAGGGAATTGCTAGCCATAGTCTGGAGATTCAGGCCCCACCCGAAAGTTGGTAACCCAAAGCGTTTCTGCATCTCTAGGGAGAGCAAGCATGGTGGGTTGTTTGGTTGATTAGCAAAAATAAGTGTTTTAGAGCCCCCCTAGGCATTGCAGACAGTGACATGCTCCTAGAACATGTTAGTTTGAGTGGCAGACGGCAAGGGGATTTAGGTACACTTGTCTGTCCCTGAATGTGACAGATTTGCAGAAAGAACACCCAAAGTGCCCATCTGGGTCAAACCAGGGCCCACATAGTCCAGCATCTAGCCTCCAATAATGGCCCATGAAGGGGCATGGAAGCAAAGGCTGTCCCCATTGTTCCTCCACTCTGCTTCTTGGAAGCAGACTGCCTCTAAACATGGAGATTCGTAGACTAAAGCCCCCTAAGCTAGTGACGTCTCTTATGGTAATGGATGCCATAAGTTAATTACAGGCTGCACGAAGAACGACCTCGCCTTAACTTCGTGCCCATCAAACTTTATTAAGCAATCTTAAGCTCCAATATTATGAAAAGGGGAAGAAAATCTCTTGTCACCGTTTGCCATTTTATAAACTTCTGCCGTTAGGGCTTTTAAATGCTATTAGAAACATTAATGGAGGGCAGGTCAACAGACCTACCCCCAGAGACCATGTCCTTGGAACACTAAGAGAAAGCCAAGTTTCTTTTTAGTGAAGAGGTATCTTGCAGGGGCCCTAGGTTGGCAGCTCTGGGCGGAGAAATACCTGGAGATTTTGGGGATGGAGCCTGGGGAGGGATATCAGCATGGTACAACGCCATAGAGTCCAACCTCCAAAGCAGCCATTTTCACCAGGGTAACTGATCTCTGTCATCTGGAGATCAAATGTATTAGCGGGAGATCTTCCAGTCCTTCCTGGAGGTTGACAACCTTAAGGGCTATGTGGGCCCATTTGAAAAAAATGCTGTTTTCCTTCGAAAGGAAAAGGCACTCTGCGTACACTCAGAAGAGCAGCTGGATCTCTCGGTCTGTGCCCATAATGCCTCGCGCGGCTCCTAGCATCTCTATGGTCTCCGTCAGCCAATGGGAGACGACATTCTCTTGTTTCCTCCCTCCCACAATGCCTTGTGCGCGGTAGAGAGTCCAAAATGGCGGCGCGCAGAAGGTGTGCTGGTCGCTGAGCGTCGGCGGTGGTTGCCATGGCAGGCCTTCTGGGCCTGGTTGGTGGTCGAGCTTGGTCAGTGCTTCGGGGCTCCGTCTCAGGTGACTTCTTCGGTCCCGGGTAGACTAGTTTCTTAGCTAGGCCGGCGTGATTTTGGGAAGGTTCGGGCACGAGCTTTCATGGGTTGTGGAACTCTCAGTTGCGAGGTACCAGAAAACGTCTGATCCTATTTCTTGTATCTGTTTGCTGGAATTTTAAAAAATAATAATATTCCTCTTTTCACACCCGCCCAAAAAAGCACACATAATAATTTAACGCCATTTAAAAGTCAGTGTACAGCTACACGTAGTATTGTTGCTGATATGAACAGAATGGTCATGGTAGCGTCTACGCCGTTTTAAGCTTTCCGTGCGCCTTGGTGTTTAGTCATGCCGGCCACATGACCACGGAAACGTCTTCGGACAGCGATGGCTCTTCGGCTTTGAAACGGAGATGAGCACCGCAACCCTAGAGTCGGATTCGACTGGCTTTCGAGCAAGGGAACCTTTACCTTTACCTTTATATTGTGGTTTTATGCTGCTCCTAATGTTCTGTAGGATGCCATGATGCGTTTTATGCAGATTTTTATATTTTAAAATCTTCTGGGCCTTTTTTGAATGCCGTTTTTGCAACACGTTATCTGCTGCACGTTACGTATTATGTGTTTTTAATTATAAGTCTTTTGTAAAATGCCTTGAATACATTTTTGTTGAGGAAGTAAATAGATGTTTAAAGGTTGTCCTTGGTAAGGTGTCCTGGCTCAGACACTACAGAAAGGCTCTTGGTCCAATTGCTCGCCCTCCCACTCATAGTCTTAGTAGTAATAGTGGGAGCAAGTGTGTTTTATTAGGTGAGATGAGCCTTAGAAAAAAAGATTCAACAAATTATGGAGGATAAGGTCTGTCAATGGCTGTTGAGCATAAGCCTCTGTATTCAGAAGAGAGTATGTGGAGGGCTTTTTCAGTTTTGCTGATGGAAAAGTTGAGAAACTTTGGGAAGTACTGAAAAAAATCAAGAAATATTTTCTTTTCTAGTACAGTTCTTTTAGGAGCAAGGTTTTACGTACTAAACAGGTAGAATGAAACTTTAAGTAAGATAGTCTGCAAAACAACATAGTAATTTTTGCAGGTACTGTATCCATGAAAATATATTCTGTATGTTCATAGCTTAAATAGGAATATTTTTGGTAACAATATATTATAATGTATGGTTAATATGTTATTTAAGTGTTTTCAATATTTTACTGGATATGCAAATGTGCTGGTAGTCCAGTTTGTGGCTGTGCATTTTGCACAGGCATGAAATGCACCCTGCTGAAGTAGCAGCAAGTGGTGAAGTTAGAGATGTGAAGGTGGAAGGGGGGGGGATTGTGTTTCTGGTTTTTTTCCCTGGGACTTTTCTTCAATTTTTTGGATGGAAAACTTGGGGAGTACTGTGGGGGAGACTTCCATAAAATATTTTCTTTTTCTGGGTGCAAAAAAAAAGATTTTACTAAGTATTTAACTCCTTCCAAGTAAACAACATGAAAAAAAATCTGGGGACGTTTGTTTTTCCAATGGAAAAAATGGGAAACTTGAATGAGCTCTTAAAAAAACAAAAAAATCCTCTTTTATTTTGGTCTTATGTATCATTTTCAAGAATTTGTTATTTAAATGTAAATAAAATTGGCCACAATTAATATGCTATGTGTTTAATGATAATGCATTTTTAAAGAGTTTGGTATTTTAAGTGTTACAACATTTAGTTTAACATCCAAATACCCGCCTACTCTGACTCTATAAGACTGTTGATATAAAACACTTTCTTTAGTTTTCTACAGAGTTTATTTTCTCCTTTCAACTTCTATCTTAGTTCTCAGATGGCAAAAATTAAAGATGCATCAGGTATGGTAAAATAAGTACACTTTCTCATGTGCTGGGTATACATGTAATTTTTCTTGAAGATGAAGATATTAATGCTTTAAAATTCCATAAATATGCTAAATAGTACAATTTTATACGCTAAGGTATAAATGATGAATGATGCACTTTATGTTCAATCAATAAAAAGTTTTGGTTTGATATGGATGTCAGATTTTTTCCCCCCAAGTATCCATTTTTTCCTGGAAAAAGTCTCCCCATGTATTCAAAATTTCCAGAGATATTTCATGTTCCTGAGCCACTTGCTGCTGCCTTGCTCCCCCCCTTTTTTTCTATCACATGTATATGAAAGAGTAGATAAAAGTATTTTTTTGCTGGGATGCCCCCCCTTTCTTGTTGCTTATACCTATCAAGCTAAGCAATAATGCACACCTCAGCAAGGAAAGGGTCCTTTAAGGGGGGGAATATGCAGTGCTTAGCTCTGCCATATTGAAGGTGGAACTTAGCTCCATCCCCTCTGTGAACACCTAGGTGGATGCTCCACCTGCAGCCGCCCTTCAGTTTCCTATTTATTTAAGAGAAAATAAGGTTTATATTTTTGCAGGAGTAAAGCTGAAAGTATGGGAGCCAGACAAATCATGCACGTGGTGGTCGTGGTGCTGTCTGGGCAGTTCCCTTTATTATATATATGTGTGTGTGGGGGGGGTACTTTTGTCCATGTGGGGGGAAATCCCAGTGTAGAAATAACCTGTGACTGTATAAGTTTGTTTCTGATCAATACACCTTTTCTCTGCAAGATCAGAATTTCTTCGCAGGTGGCAAATGCTATAAGATACATGCACTAAGTAAGTGTAGGTTGTAGCAATTTGCAGCTGTATGGCAAGTACTGGATGTATTTGCAGTTTTACTTGTAAAAACCAAATTCAGTAAATATTCCAGAAACCATATACAATTGTACTGAGTTATGAATGATGCATTTTATTGTTGTTAAAACCGCACTAATAAATTCAGGTTTGATAGGAAAGTATTACATATATATTTATTTTTCCTGGAATGTCTGTTTTTCCTGAAAGAAAACCATGTGTGGGGGAGAGGTCATTTCTCAAAATTTCAGGAAATGTTACATCTCTATTGAGTACTAGATAATGTACATGGACAATAGAGAAGACCAGTTAACTTCATATATTCTGTATAGGTTCTTCCCAGAGACATCTAGCTGGGCACTTTTGGAAACTAGTGCAGGACATAATCCTTGCTGACTCTTGCAAATGAATGCGCTGATAGAGCTCAGAGGTGGCAGAGTGGGCTGCACCAGATGCGGTGGAGAATCTTATTTTGGAGTATTTCCATACGTTAAATCTCCCTGCAGGTAGAAAACTTGCACTGTAAGGGGTATGTGGTTATGGGCTGTTGTTTGTAGGAAGTTTTTTATGCGAAGAAACCTCAAAAGGTCAGAATTTTATCACTTGCTGTCTGAAATAGTACCTTTTGCCCCCTCATTTATCTCCATGTGGGAACCAGGGATGAGGTGAAACTAGGTTTGATTCAGCAGTAGCAGGACGTACCTTCTTATACATGCTCCCCCTCATTCCATGGTTTAGGTTAGGCTGTAAGAGAGTGATTAACTCTGGGCTCTACGCTAGCCTGCCCTTGAGCCAACTGATCCAGAATGCGGTGGCTCGAGTCCTGATGGGAATGTGTCAGCTATGCTGCCATGAAAGTTGGCGAGGTTGGTCGGTGTCTGGGTAATTGCTATTGCTTTCCTTTCAGGTTAATTGCTATTGCATTCCTTTCTGTGCCTTTTCTGCTGTGCGCCGAAACGCTTATCTATACATATGTGCAGGAGGGTGTTGTAGTGTCTGGGATTTCATTAGGTGCCGTGGGAGAGTGTTAGTTCTCAGCTTCAGCTACCTAACGGTCTCTGAGCCTTAGCCCGCGTGCGGGAGGCCGCCTAATTGGCCAGTACTCTGTGTGTGTGTGTGTATACAAATACCCTATATCCTATTATGCCCATGGGGCCGCCGCCATTCTTAACAGTGCCTATGTTACTGCATCTATAGCTCTGCAATAAAAGTATAACCGTTCCTGGATGCGTGTACTTCGTTGTTGGCTGTGGGGTCTGACAGAATGCCACGGGCGGCACATATACAACCTGTGCTGCACGAGCTACACTGGCTCCCAGTGGAGTACCAAGTCAGGTTCAAGGTTTTGGTGTTGACCTTCAAGGCCTTGAGTGGTCTGGGGCCTCTGTATCTTTGGGACCGCCTCCTTTGGAACGTCTCCGGGAGAGCACTATGCTACGCTGACAACAATCTACTGGGTCTCTCTGGCCCCAAAGATATCCGGCTGTCCTCGACCAGAGGCAGGGCTTTTTCAGCCCTGGCTCCAGCCTGGTGGAACTCTGCCAAATACCACCAGGGCCCTGCAGGACTCAACGCAAATCCTCAGGACCTCTAAGGCAGAGATTTCCACCAGGCCTTTGGTTGAGGACAGCAACAATTTTCATCATGGCTGGCACCCTCCTCTTTTCCTCCATCTTCTTGCTTCAGCCTCCTCCTCGCCCTGCCCACGAGATGGCAACACAGACCGGAGTTGTGTTTTGGATTAAATCCATGACATAATCTTGAACATAAGAACGTAAGAGAAGCCAATGCTGGCTCAGGCCAATGGGCCCATCCAGTCCAACACTCTGTCACACAGTGGCCAAAAATACCAGGTGCCATCAGGAGGTCCAGCAGACACTAGAAGCCCTCCCACTGTTGCCCCTCCCAAGCACCAGGAATACAGAGCATCACTTGCCCCAGCCTGAGAGTTCCTATCTATACCTTGTGGCTAATAGCCACCGGTGGACCTCTGCTCCATATGTTTATCTAATTCCCTCTTGAGGCTGTCCATGCTTGTAGCCGCCGCCACCTTCTGTGGCAGTGAATTCCATGTATTAGTCACTCTTTGGGTGAAGAAGTACTTCCTTTTATCTGTTTTAACTTCCTTTTATCGGTTTCATCTGTTCTATCTTGAGGTTATTAATAATATAGGAATAAATAATTTATTGTTTTTTAACAATGTTATGTTGGTGTTTTAACTTTATTGTACATTGCCCAGAGCCCTGGGACTGGGCGATTCACAGATCTAACATAAAGTGGCATGGAAGGCTGCTCGGCTGAGTGCAAGTAGTCCTCCGAGCCCAGAGTGCTTCCTAGTATGCCTCCTCAGTGTGGCAGGTGACAATAAGAGACAATTGGACGGAATCCACTTTCTCTCTACCATTCCTAAAGGCTCTCCACCTCTTTGTATCCCCACCCCCGGAGATTGTGTCATAGTTTTGCGGCTGCCCAACCAGCTTCTTCTTGCCTTGAGGAGGACCCTGTTGGATTGAATCCTCATAAAGCTGAACATTCCGTTTTCTCACAGAAGACGGGCCTCAAAGGTTCTTTGTTCTCTGAGAAGCTGGAATGATGTTTGTCAGCATGGCATGTCATCACATCAGTTCAGCATATTGGTCTCAGCAGCTTCACCTCCACATGTGCAGCATAGATCCTTGGTGTTAAGTGCCACTGTAAAGCTGAGGTTTCCCTGCAGTGTGTTGATCTGTCTTGCTGTTTTTTCTCTTCTGGCTCAGGTGTGAGCATCCATTTCCTGGAGAACAGAGCCCAGCAAGTCAGGATTTTCCCGGTTTGCTTCTGTGGAAGTTCTGCCCTGGATCACATCCTTGGGATTCCTAAAGAGGAAACAAAACATTTAGTGGGCCAGCATCCTCCAGCAGTGAATGCCTTTCCAGGTGAGGTGAATCAGGTGTGTGTGTGTGTGGGGGGGATTACTGAAGCAAAGGCTCTTGGGGAATGTGACAAAAAGCTCACAACTATCTCTACGGGTAGAAAGGGAGTCGTAAAAGGTGGCCATCTCTCTGGTTGTGTACACAAGATGAAAATGGGACAAAGTTTGAGTCCAGTGGCACCTTAAGACCCAACAAAGTTTAATTTTGGGTGTAAGATTTAGTGTGCTTGCCCACTTCAGCAATACCTTTTCTCCCCCCATGACATTCAGAGAGAACTTTGAACCTGCAAAGAGCTAATTTAACTCAGCAGTTTACACAGGATATTTAGGGACAGACCCACTTTGTTTTAACTTGGGGGGGGGCAGTGGCAGCAACAGCAGTATGGTTTAGCTACACACCATTCTCTAGTGTTACCATCCTGGAGGACTTGTCTTGCTTCTGTATACTATTTCTACTTCCTGTACCCTAGTGATGGGTGAATTTTTGTTGGGATATGTTAAATTAATACAAGAGCTGTTTTCCATGTTCCATATTATTTTGCAAAATAGCAGTTCCCTTTAGCTCTTCCTGATGACCCGAAAATCTGTTGCATTCCCATAGACCTCTTGGGGAAAGAAAATGTGAAGATTTTGTTTGAGTTTTGCTTTCTAGGACGGCACCAAAGGGAAGTGTTTTGAGTGGGACCTGTTCTGGCAATTGTGACTTGGGCAGGAGGCCAAGAGGGGGTGCTCCTTAAAAGGAATCCCGTGCTCTTGCTTTGCTTTTTAGCAGTGGGAACAGGACAGGGGTGCATCCCACACACTTCATTCTTAACACTTAAAAACTTCACAGGAAGAGTATGGAAGAGTAAGAATTACACATACTCAGAGGAGCTTCTCCACTCTGCTTCTGTGTGAATCACTATTCTGGGTGTTCCTTTGGAGAAACGGTGATGCTTGCAACAAATGGTGTATTCTTCCCCCATTTATTCCCATATCCACCTTCCTCCCCTCATTTTGTCATCCTTATTCACAGTGGCTCAAAGGTTGAGGCGCTGAAGCTGCAGACTGGAAGGTCTGTAGCTCAGCAGTTCGAGACCTTAGTGCCGCGTGGCGGAGTGAGCTCCCGTCTCTGGCCCCAGCTCCTGCCAACATAGCAGTCTGAAAGCAAGAAAGAGAGCCAGTTTGGTGTAGTGGTTAAGTGTGCGGACTCTAATCTGGGAGAACCGGGTTTGATTCCCCACTCCTCCACTTGCACCTGCTGATGTGACCTTGGGTCAGTCACAAGCTCTGGGACAGCTGTCCTTGAAAGAGAGCAGTTTGTGTCAGAGTTCTCTCAGCCCCACCCACCTCACAGTGTGTCTGTTGTGGGGAGGGGAAGGGAAAGGAGTTTGTAAGCCGCTCTGAGACTCCAAGTGAAGGGCGGGGTATAAATCCAATCTCTTCTCTTCTTCTTCTTCAAGTAGATAAATAGACACCGCTTCAGTGGGAAGGTAACAGCATTCCGCATGCCTCGGCATTTAGTCATGGCCGGCCACATGACCACAAAAACATCCTTGGACAGTGCTGGCTCTTCAGCTTGGAAACGGAGACGAGCACCGCCCCCTAGAGTTGGATTCGACTAGCTTTTTACCTTTTTATCTTCAGTTTTAGGTTGTAAGGTCTTTCGAGCGGCGACCTGTCATTTTCTTCTCTGTAAAAGTTTCACCTGTAGTGATAGCTCTATGTAAACAGTGAAGGAGTGCAACAGGCAGCCTCCTGTCAGGCCAGGAAATTCTGTTGCATCTCTCTCCGCTAGAAGTGGCAGACTGCTCCAATCACATCTGATGCAAAATTATCTGATCCTTGGCAGAAGTGGATGGGAAGGAGGCGAGGCCAGACCAGTGACTCATGCAGAAATGTGGGTGTGGAGGGGGAGGTATTTGTGGATTTCCTGCCTTGTGCAGGGGGTTGGTCCCTTCCAACTCTGTGATTCTATGAAATGCAGCAGGTATTGCAGTTCATCCTGAATGCACTTCAGGGTCACGGTAGCCTTCAATTACTGAATGCATTGGAAAGGAAAGGCCTCTTAACACGAAGTGCCTATTCACATATGCCTGGCCTGAGATCATACTGGAGTGTGTGTGTTCTCTCTGCAGCTGAGACAGATCATTTGTCGTGCTACCAGTCGGATCAGCCCGAGAATCCCAAAGTCTTGAGAGTTGCCATTATCGGAGCTCCGAATGCTGGGAAATCAACCCTCTCAAATCAGCTCTTGGGCCGGAAGGTAACATTTCAGAGACTATGTGTTGTAGAGTTTTCTTGACTTCTTTGCAATGAACCTTCAGCTGTTTGTGTGTGTGTTTGTGTGGACAGGTCTTGCCAGTGTCGAAGAAGGTACACACAACGAGGTGTAGCGCCCAGGCTGTCATCACAAAGGATAACACCCAGCTGGTGGGTATTGATCAGAATTCACTAAATCACTCTGTCCATTTGGCTAGAGGAGCTTTCCAGAAGTTGGGGTCCCCTGAGAAGCGTCTAACGGGGCAGTCTTTCCTTGTGGGTTCCCAAGCATCTGGCAGTTGGATGATGGACTGCCTTTGAACACAAAAGTCCCATGCCTGACTTTTGTGGCTAGTAGCTGTTTTCAGATTCTTTATCCACAGCTCACACACCCATTTTGTGTTGGTGCCTGCAGTCCATCCATGCTCCCCCAAAGCATAGCAATTGAAGTGGCCCTTACAGATAAACAAAACAGAAGTCCAGCAGCCCCTTAAAGACTATCAGCACTTATGCCAGTATGAGCTTTCATGAGACAGAGCTCCCTTCTTCAAATACAAGTGAGCTCTGTCTCACAAGAATAAATGTTGGCAATCTTCAAGGGGCCACTGTGTTTTCCTGCAGTAGACTAAGATGGTTGTCTCACTGGAATTATGTTGGCAAATAACCAGCAACTCTCCTCCTTTCACACTTTGTGTTCTCCAAGCAGGAGAAGCACCATCACAGCTCACACTAGCTTTTATAGCAGGTTCCTATTTTTCCCCCAAATAAGTTTGCAGTGAATAAGTTTTCCCCGTATATTCTTCACAGAGGATGTAGTGATGGCCACAGGAATAAACAGCTTTAAAAGGGGGATTGGATAGATTCATGGACGAGAGGTCTATCAGTGGCTACTAGCCATGATGACTGAAGGGGAAGCTCCACATTCAGAGGCACTAAACCCCTGAATCCCAGAGCCAGGAGGCAACATCAGGGGAAGGCCTCATCCTCTATGCCCTGTTGTTGGCTGCCCAGAGGAACTGGCTGGCCACTGTGTGAAACAGCATGCTGGGCTAGATGGACCACTGGTCTGATCCAGCAGGGCTCTTCTTACGTTCCTGTGTTCACACCTACTTTTCTTGCAGATTTCTTCCTACTGCCGGTTTCAGTCTCTGGTTTTCAGGTTTTAATTGAGGTGTCTTGTTTTTCCTCCCTTAGGTTCTCTTAGATACTCCCGGACTCATCACTTTGGCCAAAGCCAAAAGGTAGAATTCTAGCTGGGGAGAAACGTGGCTGTGTTGGAGAGGGGGGTCCAAATAAGGAGCAAAGGGGGCAGTGTTACAGTGCCTTGCATCTTTTTCAGGCACAACTTGGAAAAGTCTCTCGTCCAGGACCCTTGGAGGAGCATGAAGAGTGCAGACTTAGGTGGGGGCCTTAATTTTTTTTTCTCCCCCCCCCCCTTGCCCTCTGCTGCATGTCTCGGTGGCACCCTCCTTGTAGGGTGAGGTGGGCGGGTGAGCTGTGTGTTCTGCCAGTACAAACAGGTGTTCTTCCTTGAGCTGCTGCTCTGTCTGGTGCTCTTTAAACATTTGAAAGGGTATCACTTAGAGGAGGGCAGGGAACTGTCCCTGTTTGCAGCAGAAGACGGGACTCACAATTGTAGTATGAATGGGAATATAAAGATTTCTTCCTGATCATATTCATTTTTCTCTGGTTTTTATAGATTTGTTCTGTAAGTAATATTTTATTAGGATGTTAGAAAGGCCTGTTATATAGAAGGTTTTCCTCTTGTAGGTCTGATATTGTTAGCAGACAACCTAATAGGTACAAATTTCATGATTCTGTAGTTCTTAGAGCAAACCTTTCAGTGTCTGGGTCAGATAAGATTTTAGTCTGATATGAAGAATCCTTGCCCATTATCATTTAGGTTAGGTTAAGTAAACACTTAGTTTGATGTAGATATGTTTCTTTATATCTGGCCAATCAGAGGATTATTACTCAAATTACCACTGTCTTTTGTAACCAATTATGCTGTTTGAATATTGTTTTCTTGATGATGTCAGTCCATGTATAAAATATCATGTATTTCCTGAATATGTTCAGAATATGCTCAAGAAGAAGATGAAGAAGAAAAAGAAGAAAGTTGTCAAGTTTTGGTTAACTATTTGGTCTAATGGTTTTCCTATTAATTGAGGCATTTTTCCTGATTATGCTGAGAAGAAAGCAGTCAGTTTTGATGGGTCCTTTGGCCTAACTGTTTTCCATATTTAATTACAATAAAATACAAGAACTTCCTCCTCATTTGACTTCATTTTTGACATGGAATCTAATATGTACAACACAATAATGAGTTTAAATTACGGGCGGAAAAGATATACTGGCTGGATATTATGAAAACAATGTTTTACAGAGTAGTTCAGCAGTGGCTGGGAGAACACTTGTCAGGGATGCTTTAGGTGGATGCCGCATTGAGCAGGGTATTAGATGGCCTGTATGGCCCCTTACAGCTCTATGATTCTTCTGCATAGCTGAGGATCCAGAGGTTGTCCCCAGCTAAACATCTGTGACTTCTTTGTTTTGCAGTGGTGGTGCTCGTGGATGTGTCAGATCACTACACCCGGAACCAGCTCCATCCCCAGGTGCACAAGTGCCTCTCCACATTCTCACAGGTTCCCAGCATCCTCGTCTTGAACAAGGTAACTAGAGAACGGAGTCTTCCTGGGTTCTGCCCTCTGAATGTGTTCTGGGGTGCAAGTGGATCTGTGCTTCTTCTCTACTTCATTGGGAGTGGAAACGGTCTTCCAGCATGGCATGTTTCACAATCGCACATGCTAACCAGTTGGAGTAGCAAAGCTGTGGCTTGCCTGTAAGATGCTCTTCATCAAGCCCACACTTCAAGGGAGGGGGAGGGGCTTCCTGGGAGGACCATAGGAGAGAAAGTGTCCCAGCAAAAATATTCTTGCCTGGGCATGTTCTCAACAAATGTCTTTTGATAAAGGAGAGAGCCACCTGGTCGTTTCCTTTAGAACAACACACTGCTGTGCATTCTAGTGCCTTTTAGTGAATCTTCTGCTGTTGTGCTGTCTTCTAGTGGTTCCCAGAACTTCTCAGGCTTAATGCTGTCTTGCTGTATGCCTAGAGGAGTTCATGTGCTCCCTCCTTATGTGTCTAAAGTCTTCTGCCTGGCTTATTTTTTTTTCAAAAACTTTTATTTTGGATATAACATATTCAACATTAAATTACAATCCTTTAGTTCCATATCCATTTCCCTTTTCTCCTCCCCCCCCCTTTTTGGTGGCTTCCCGCAATGCTCCTCCCCGTCCTCTCTTTATATAATTCCATTTTTCTTCCTCAATTTCTTTTTACTTTTCAAGGTAACAATCTTACTTTAAATAATTCAAACCTTCTATATTTCTACCCTTAATAGTTATCTAAACAAAGTAATGCATTTTTAACGTCCCAGTTATTTTCTAAATATTCTTTAAAATCTTTCCATTCTTAAAAAAATTCTTTGTCTTTATTGTTCAATTTTTTTGTTAATTTATCCATTTCTGCCATAAATAGGGCTTTCTGTACCCATTCCCATTTGTCAGGTATTCTGTCCTGCTTCCAAGATTGTGCATAAGTCATTCTCGCGGTGGTAATTAGATACCACAACAAAGTCTTTTTTGCGACATTTACTTCTTCCATCTTTAGACCCAGAAGTAGTATCTCTGGTTCTTTTTTAAAAGTACATTTCAAATTTTTTTGCATTTCATCATGAACATCTGTCTAAAAGGTTATAGCTTTATCACAAGTCCACCACATATGGTAAAAAGAGCCTTTTTTTTAACATTTCCAACATTTGTTAGACATATTTTTATTCATAAGTTTCTGCCTGGCTTATAATATGCCAGGGCAGCCACCTGGTTCCAGAATTTTGGTAGGGTTAATCAGCCTTTTAACAAAACCGATACCTTTAAATAAATGTACACACCACCCCAACTTTTTAATACATTTTTTTGGAAGTGAGATGGAGCTTACGGTTTAATAAGCTGCAGTCCTTCTGGAGGAAAGGTCGGCTTTGGCTGTCCTCCTTCCCATTCCCTGGAATAGTAACATACCAGCTTCAGAAAGTATTCCAGAGAAGAAACCTGATCCCTTAATTAACAGGCTTATCAGAACAACAGAGGCAATCAACAGGTAGAATAACCAACCAAACAATTGTGAATAACCTGAACTCAGAAGCAGTAAATTAAAACAAAACAGACTACAAGAAGAAGAAGAGGAGATTGGATTTATACCCCGCCCTTCACTACCCAAGGGAGTCTCAGAGCGGCTTACAAACTCCTTTCCCTTCCCCTCCCCACAACAGACACCCTGTGAGGTAGGTGGGGAGAAGCGTGGCTGTGTTACAATGAAGCAATAGCATCTTAACTGTAGAGAATCCAACAGGATAAAAGTATAACAGCAAAAAAATCCCAACAGAGCATAGCCAAAATCCCCAGAACTGTTTAGTAAACAATCCTGAATCCTATCTGGCCAGAAACCAATGTTAAAATACACAAAATATACAAATTATAACATATAGGAAAAAAATCCCAAAGGTTGTCAGAAGTAAAATAGGCAGTCAAAACGTTTTTGTAAATATTTTGCATTGTCTATTAAGGTAAAGGTAAAGGTTCCCTTGCTCGAAAACCAGTCAAGTCCGACTCTAGGGTTGTGGTGCTCATCCCCGTTTCAAAGCCGAAGAGCCAGCGCTGTCCGAAGACGTTTCCGTGGTCATGTGGCCGGCATGACTAAACGCCAAGGTGCACGGAACGCTGTTACCTTCCCATCGAAGTGGTACCTATTTATCTTCTTGCAATTTCTTGCTTTCGAACTGCTAGGTTTGCAGGACGGGAGCTCACTCCGTCATGCGGCACACTCGGGTCTCGAACTGCTGAACTACCGACCTTCCACAGCCTGCAGTTCAGCATCTTAACCACTTGAGCCACCGCAATAAATTTTGCTTTTCAGAAGCAGGGGTGGAGAAGCTTATGAGAGATACAGTGAAAGCAGCCCCCAGTCCCAGGAGCCACAATAGCAACATGACTTGACCCCAGTTTCGCTGATCCCATTAGTGGGAAGGTTGGAGAGTTGCTGCATTTACCTCCAGTCCATACAGACCCCAGTTCCCCTCTGCTTGTTTGTTTCAGGTGGATTTGCTGAAGAAGAAACATCTTCTTTTGGACCTGGTAACGGAACTCACTGAGGGAGTTGTCAATGGGAAGAAGCTTAACGTCACATCTCAGTCAAAGGTGTCTTCCGCTACCCCCACCAGTAGCCTCTCTCATGAGAGCACCCAGGATTCTGTGACTTCTGAGGTTACAACTGCAAAGTCTGGAGACCTAGTGGAACTGAGTAGCCCACAGGCAGACTCTGATTCACATGCCAGATCCAACAGCAGCATGGAAGATGTGGGACCTGCAAGAGAGAGCACGGGGAAGCAAAGGAAGATATCCAAGAAAGGCTGGCCCCACTTTCAGGACATCTTCATGCTGGCTGCCATTAACAGAGAGGAGGTGGAAACACTGAAGGCAAGTTGGAAGCCCCCCCTCAAGTAAGCTTTAGCAGTCCACTCTGGGCAATTACACAGCTGCTCCAGGGGTGTGACTTTGAGATGTCCTGATTCCGAGTGGAGTCTTGTAAGCATGGCCACGAGAATGGGGCTTTGTAGTTCAGTTGATGGGTGTGATAAAAGTTTATGAATGGTGCAAGGACGTTTTGCTCCCTCTCTTATAAAGCTTGGCATCACCAAGAAGAGCTGATTGGCAACAGGTTCAGAGGCAGTGTATTTCACAAAGTGAAACTATTGACTGGAGTGTGTTCCGTAGAGGGCTTTCAAAATCAATTCCATTCACTCTTCAAGGCTGGGCTCAGAAGCAGTACAGCTCTGAATTTCAGATGCTGGAGAGAATTGACAGGCAATCACCTCTCCTGCTTGTTTGTTTATTTTCCCCAGTGAGTTTCAAGGCAGATTGCATGACATAAAACAATGTAATCTTATAGATAACCTGCACCAGGACTAGGATTACAGACGTTAGAAACACAATGCAACAGAAAGGGTGTTGAACAGGATACATCATAAAAAACAGTGAAAGTGGAATGATGGAAGTAGAAGACGATGCAGTAAGGGCAAGTTAAAACATAAACCTTGGAACCGGCTGCAATCCTATTCCTTTTTATAGAGACGATCCATTCTGTTATGGTACAGTCCCGTTCCCTTTATCAAGATGATTTCCTGAACCATTCTGTTCTACCCAGTCTGCGGAATGTTGGGAGCATAAAAGCCTTCCTGGCCTCCTCAGGCAGGCCATTTCACAAGGTTGGACACAGAACACTTGATTAGGTGGCCCAGCAAGGCTATTCCTGTGGAGCTGGTTTCCAGGTGGCCACTGTGCATGGAAGGTGCAGATTAGAAAGGAGAGAGACAGTTCTGGGCCACCTCCTTTCTGAATGAGTGTGCCTTCCCCCTTTTAAGAGGCAAGAACCAGCCTGTGCCAGAACAATTGGGTGTGGTAGGGAAGCCCACCTTGGATATTTTCCCCCTTATCCAGTGCCTCTCAGGTCATACTGCCAATAAGTGGCTGGCTTGGGCAACCTCCCTTCAACAGTAGATCCCTAAGGTGCTCGCCAAGTCTTCCTGCCCATCTCATTTAAAATAAACTATTTTTAAACTTTGAAGTAAGACACAGGCTTTACTTGCTTTCAAACAGCCCTAACTGTGGTGCAACTTGTCACCAGAAAGTGGCTTACCAAAACTTGGAATGAGTTCACCCTGCCTCTGCACTTGGCCATCGCTACTGCCAGCTTCACACCTGTCCCCCCACAGTTAGAACTTTTATCAGTCTACACTAATTAGGTGTGTTTAAACAGCTAGATTTAAGTCCAGTAGCAGTTTGTAGTACCAAGATTGGGGGGGGGGGTATAAGGAAGGTCGAGCGCCGTACAATAGATGCTTTCGAATTATGGTGCTGGAGAAGACTCTTGAGAGTCCCCTGGACTGCAAGGAGATCAAATCAGTCAGTCCTAAAAGAAATCAACCCTGACTATCCCCCGGAAGGCAAGACACTGAAGCTGAAGCTCAAATACTTTGGCCACCAAATGAGAAGGGAGCACTCACTGGAGAAGACCCTGATGCTGGGAAAGACTGAAGGTCAAGGAAGAAGGGGACAGCAAAGGATGAGATGGTTGGACAGTGTCATCAAGGCAACGGACATGAAATTAAGCAAACTCCGGAGGACGATGGAAGACAGGCGGGCCTGGCATGATGTGGTCCATGGGGTCACGAAGAGTCTGACTCAACTGTGCGACTGAACAACGACAACAAGCTTTTGAGAGTCAAAGCTCCTAAATCAGGTATCTGACAAAGGGAGATTTGGCTCTTGAAAGTTTATATCCCGAAAATATTGCTCTCTCAAGGTGTTACAGGTCTTGAATTTAGCTGTTTAAGTAAACCTGGCCTAGTGTACACTGATAAGGTTCGAACTGAGGAGGCTCTCATGGCCCGTTAGAGACAGCCCCCTCCCCAACTCCCGCTTGGCCCTGGTGACCTGCTAATCACATACGGCATACAACCTAGTACGCACATGTCTATGCTGATGATCCTGCATATGTCAAAAAAAAAGAAGCAAAATGTCAGGGAGGTTGGAAGCTGCAAGCACATCTGGGCCAAATCTGGTATGGAGGCTAAGGGTTAATTGCACATCCTGCCCCCTTGGATGTATGACTGGTCTGCTGTTCCTTCCCCCTTGCCTCCAGGACAAGGTGAGTCTTGGGTATCTAGGCCGCTCTTGGGTGGGTGCCTCCTGATCCAGTTTGGATTCTCTGTGCCAACAGAGCTACCTCCTGATGCAAGCCAAGCCAGGCCCCTGGAAGTTTCACAGTGAGGTCCTGACCAACCAGTCTCCTCAGGAGATCTGTGATAACATCATCCGAGAGAAGCTCCTTGAGTATTTGCCTGAGGAAGTGCCCTACACAGTGAACCAGGTGCGTTTGTGAATTGGAGAGGGTTCGGGCCTTCCTTCCACTCATACAGCCCCACAGCCACTCACTACAGCCTTCTTGGCTCTCTGTTTTCCTTACAGCAGACAGAGATTTGGGAGGAGGGACCCAGCGGGGAGCTGATCATCATGCAGAATTTAGTGGTCCAGAAGGGGACGCATTTGGTAAATACTGGGACCAAAGGGGGGTTATTCTTGAATGTTTGAGAAGCTGCCAATGAAAGATGGACTGCCCCCACCCCCATCTTGTATAGGACCCAAGAGCCTCTAAAGCAGACTGAGGGCCTCTTTAGCTTAAGCGCAGAATTCCAGGGCATCTTGGAATATGGTAATTCCTAGTCCAATCTCTCTGGCCCAAAGTTAGGCCCGTCCGAAGCTGAGCGCCACAAGTGGCGGCTTTGTGGAAAGTCAGTTTCCAAATGCAGAGCTGTAGGCAAAAGTGAAAAACCCCAACACCACACCCACCTTGGGAATTTGAGGGAAGCAACTGTCTGACATCTGGCTTGAACATGAAGGTTGTCATAGCTGCGAATTGCAAATTGTTCTTAAAATTAAAAATGGGTTGAGCAAACTCGGGGTGGGGTGGGGGGGTGTCAATTCATTCAGTAGCAGTGTAAGGAATATTCAAGACTGAAGCCTAAAGGCAAATTCTGAATACTTTGGAAGCCCTTCATTTGATTGTGGGTGTTTGGACAGTTCAGAGGCTGAAGCTTTTAACTGCATCTGTCTTGAACAGTGTCAGAATTGGTTGAATGCCTGTGAATTGTGCACTAGACTGGTCATAGTTTTTTTGTTATTTTGGGCTGTCAGGTCACAGCCAATTTATGGTGACACCCCCCCCCCCGGTAGGGTTTTCACAGCAGGAGACGTCCAGAGGTGGTTTGCCATGGCCTGCCTCTACATAGCAGCCCAGAAATTCCTTGGTGGTCTCCTATCCAAAAACTAACCAGGACTGACTCTGATTAGCTTCTGAGATTTGAGTGAGGGTGGTCCTAGTTATCTGTAGGCATTTAAACTGGAGAATGTAGATCAGAGAACGTCCTGGGCGTCTTTCATTGGCCACCTTTTGATTTCAGTGCTCCTGCCCTGTCTCTCGGCTGCTGCCTGTGCTGCAGAGGCCAGGGGGCTCCCCGGGAGCTCTTTTCTTGCACGGCATTGCCAGAGACTGGCCAGGAGCATGGTTGTCCCACAGCTGATCCACCGTCATGGTTTCAGCTGGAGATGTCAGGCTACATAACAGTTACATTGCCAATATGCAGACTGAGCAGAAGATGGGCTAGCTTGGCTCATGTCCCCTCTCCTTCTCCCCTGCAGAAGATGTTGATTGGCCACCACGGCCAGCTAGTCAGTAGAATTGCCGAGGAGGCCGGTCGTGACCTGATGAATGCTTTCCTGTGCGATGTCCACCTGAAGCTCCGCGTTAAATTGAAGAAATGAGTCGGCCTTTGGGTGCCCCTGCAGGAGTCGGACGTGCAGAGCGGGCCGCTGCCAGCCTCAATTCTCCACCCCCTGGAGGATGGCCTCTTCATGCCAGAAGCAGATGTGAAGGAACCCTAGTGCTGCAAGTTTCTCTGGGTTGCTTCTTTGTTCCATCGACAATTGCAGCAGATGCAGGGCATCTGGTCTTCCCTCCCTCGTTTTGATGTGGAGAGGGCCTCTCGGGCTACTGCTAGGTGCAAAATCACAGTGGTCCTCCAAAGGACAGTGCAGTTTTAAAGAGGAGGGGAAAGTGATGTGCATTATCGTGCATCCCCTTTAGGTCTGCCTCTAACATCGTAGGACTGTGGCTGGTGGAGTGAGCCCGCTGCATTCTCCTGGTTTGGACAGTGCAGCCTTGATGGACAAGCAGGTTCTCCTCTATGAAAGGGAGGGTTATGGTTCTGCTGTTCCCTGCTTGCCTCATTCCTTATTCCGAATATGCCCTGAAATGCCTCCGCTCTACAGCTTCTGCCGTGCAGAGCAGTCTACAAAGGAGCACTGGCCCCTGTTTTCCTTGCAGACGTGCCTCATTTGCCTTTTCTCTAATGCAACAAACAGAATCCATTCTCAGTATGCTTTTTCTAAAGGGAGGTGGGAGCCAACAGGCTTCCACCAGAGCATACAAGCGCACACCTCCTTATCTGACACCGGGACAGTATTTTTATGCCCTTGAAAAGGAAGGTAATGCCTGAGGGAATCACCGTCTTGAGAGCCGTCTGAAAGTGCTCGACTGGCCTGTTCCCATCAGGCGGAAGTATCCTCATCCCCCTGTGGCTTTTGTGTTCTGGTCTGGTCACAGAATTGAGGCTACCATCCAGGCAGTCCCTTCCCGGCCTCTTCCTCTGTCAGCTGGATCTTGCTACCATGTTCTGTCTCGATCTCTTCATGCCTGCCTCTCCGGTTTTATGGGCGGCTGAGTTCCTATCAGTTTGTTCCTTACTTACTTCATTTGCACTCTGCCTTTTCTCCCAAGGGGACCCTAAGCATCATTCTCCTCTCCTCCATTTAATCCTCACAACAGCCCTGTGAGGTAGGTTAGGCTGAAAGTGTGTGACTAGCCCATGATCACCCAGCAGGCTTCCGGAGCAGAGTGAGGGGTTCATCCAACATTAACCGTTTGCTACATTGGCTGTCCAGAACACACACACTAGAAAGAGAAAATAGGGTCCATTCTCTCAAGGATGCTTAGAAACTATTGAAAAACTATATTGTTGAGGCCCAGGTAAGGTGCTTGTTCTGCTGTGGCCTGTTCTCAGCTTTGCTGAGCAAAAGGCTATAGGGTACTGGATTTTGGAGATTTTCCCCTACACATGACATTCTTTGGCTGGAATTTGGGGATGGAAGGCCTGCCTCCCCCTATGAATGGTTTGCCTGTTGGACCCAGTGGTCTGGCCAATGTTGTCCAGGTGCTCAAGCCAGCCAAGGCCTGTGGGGGGAGGGTGTCTAACCAGCAGGGAAAGCTCCGTTACGAGCCTAGACTTTACAGGGCAGGTGGCCTGATCCCTTCATTTGACAGGTGGGGTGCTGAAGGCTCCAGACTCAAGTGATCAATGGGGATCTCCTATGTGTTGCCAGTCTAGTTTAAATGCTCCAGGTTGAGAACTGGAGCTCTTGCATCCTACACAGTGGCAAGTGGAGCAGAAGCAGTTCCCATTTCTTTGGCAAAGTCCTATTTTGCATGCCACTCAGAACCTCTGCCTGGCCTGCTCTTCCGGCCTTGAATCTTTCCAAGGATTTTTCCAGTGAGCTTACCTTCAACAGCCAGTGTGGTGTAGTTGTTAACGTGTCGGACTAGGATTTGGGAAACCCAGCTTCAGGTCCCCACTGTGTCATGGAAGCTTGCTGGGCAACCTTGGGCCAGTCATACACTGTCAGCCTAACCTCCTTCACAGAGTTGTGGTCAGAATAAAACAGAGGAGAACGGTGCAAGCCACTTTGGGTCTCCATTGGGCAGAAAGGTGGGATATAAATAAAGTATATTAACTACTTCTGACCTCAGTCTTGATAGGACTAGTACCCGAGAAGCTTCTACCAGTTGCGCCACATCTGGAATGAGTGTGTGCAGTGGGCATAAGTTAACTACTTCTGACCTCCGTCTTAAAGGGACTAGCGCAGGGAGAGGGGACTGTTGCCAGAGAAGCTTCTACCAGTTGTTCTACAGCTGGAACCAATGTGTGCAATGGATGTACTTTGCAGTTATCACTGTAGTTTCACTTTGTCCTTGCTACCTGTTGTCTCTGCTGCAGGAGCCTTAGAGGATACTTTGTTCAGGCGTATGTAATTAGAGTGGGCAAGCAGTCATAGAATTGTGCTTCCTCCAGTTGGTCAGTACAATCTTCCTTGCAAGACTGTACTGGGGGTGCAAGTTCTTCTAACTTGCAGCTGATGTTCACTCGACGCAGCAATGATTTACTGTTCCTTATGACATCACAGAAGCAGTTGTTCAAGTGGAATAAAACTGATTTTTAAAAAATACAGGACTGAACAAACTGTTCATTAAATTTTGCATTGCATTTGTGTGTGTGAGAGGTGGGGGTTATATCTTGTATGGATCATTGGGTTGGGGGGAGAGGGGAAAAGGTGAAGATGAAAGATCAACACTGATTTGGGAGGTGCCCAAGGAACAAAAAGTGGGTTAAAGCTCACAGCAGGAAATAAGATGACCAACTCCTTTTTTGTAGACGCCCTTAGTAAGCCACCTATTTTTTATGGCGCTAGCCATGAGTGATGAAGTTCTTCCAATTAACGTACTTGAGAAATGAATATGCCACCTTTCTAGAGACTTGTTTGAGTTGATTCACAAGTTAAAACCAGTACAATAAAATCATAAAAAGCCAGGACATGAAAAGAGTATAAAGCACAATTATCAGCGTAAAGTTATATTCATTTAAAACCTCTGGCTAGAAAACCCCTGGCTAGAAGCAGACTATAAAAGCAATTTTAAAAGTGCCAATCCTTAGTTAAAAGTCTGGCTAAAAAATGTTTTGGCCTGGCACCTAAAGCTAGGTGATTCCCCAACGTGGAGGGCTTCCCAGAGGTGATGCCATAAAGTCCATACGTGTCCCAATCTTCAATACGAGTGAAATTATGCTGGTCAAGATTACATGAAGTGCTTTGCTCCTGCTTTTGTATTTGCTTTTTCTGAGGTCTCTTTCATGAGCCACATCTCCCATCGGCAGTGGCTGAAAACCAAGGAAGACTGGCTTTCTGATTAGCCTGATCAAGATGGGTAGCTGTGTTTGTCTGCAGCAGTAGAAAAGAGCAAGAGCACAGTAGCACCTTAAAGACTAACAAAATATATGGCAGGGTATGAGCTTTCGTGTGTCACTGCTTACTTCTTCAGTCTGGTTATCAACAGGATAGTTTAACAATTTCATTGAGCTTGACCAGCACGCATCACCGATAACTAGTGCCCTTCTGTGTAACTCGTGCTCCTGCCTTAGAACACCAGAGTGCTGTTTTGTTGCTCATGTTATTCGTCTGCTGGTTTTAAATGTGTTTTTTTCTATTAGTGCTCTTTGAGGGTTTGTATGTAGGTCTGCCAGTTGAGGGTTCACCTCATGCATCACGAGAGCTTGTGCTACAGTAACAGTGAATAAGTTCGGGAGGTTCACTGGGACTCCTATTTGAGTTTGTTGCAGTAGACATTCAGTTCCTAACGTGCAGCATGATGGGAACAATAACACTGGTTGGTGCAGGCCCTGCTCAGGCTTTTTCTGCCCTCCTTGCAATTTGGGAGCAGTAATCCTGGCACTGTTTTCATATTTCTAGTGCAAAAAAAAAAAAGTTTGCAGGGATTGAATTTAAAAAGCTGACGGCTACGGGACGAGCTCTGTTTTCACTCTACCTTTTTGAAAGGAGAGCCTTTTGCCAAGTAATTGCAGCGATGGACTCGCATTTTCCCACGCTGCGAATTGTCACCGTACCAGGACTGTGAATCCAAGTTTAAGAGAGAAAACAGGAAATCCGGGCTGCAGACAAAGGAATTGCCGCTCTAGCAATCCCTCACCTCCATGGTTGGGGAAGCGCGTTGGGGACATAAGAACACAGGCGATGCGCGTGCGTACTAAGACTCGTCCAAAGCGGCGTTTGGCAATCCGGCGATGCCAAAGGAGGCAAATGATAAAACTAACGTCGCAAGCTGTCTTCACTTCCGGTCTCCATAGGGCTGCCGCACCATGCGGGTTGGAAGGCGTGGACAGCACAAATGCGGGTGAGCAAAAGCGTCACTTGGGGCGGTCCTCCACTCCCTCCCACGTCCCCTCACTGCCCTCGTCGTTAAATCCTTCCTTTGCCCATCGCCCTCCGCCTCCTGCTCTTCAACAGGGAGCCGGAAGTGTCTGTGAAGGTTCTGGGCGACGCCGAGAGAGGCGGACCGTCGGGGCGCGTGCGCAGAAGCGGGGAGCGGTCGAGCCGGCTCTGAAGGAAGGTGGAAGAGAGGGAAGCGGAGCGGCGGCGGCGGCGCCATGAGGGCCGGGCGGGGGCTCCCACGGTGAGCGAGGGGAGGGGCCGCTGACGAGGCCCCCCGCGAGGCCCGGGTCCTCCCCGACGAGGGGGTCGCCACAAGGTCCCCCCTCCCCGGGGGCCCGGAAACGCCCCGGGGCATCCAAGGGGAGACCGGCGAGCCTGGGCCCTCCGCGAAGGGGCCTCTGGGGACCGTGGGGGGGGGGGGTTTTTCAAAGC